CAAGAACAAACGCATCGTGCTGTTCGACACTCTGCTGGAGGACTACTCGCCCCTGAACAAGTCTGGAGAGCCGCAGCCCGAGCAGCCAGAGAGCGATGACACAGCCGGTGAATCAAAAGCCAAGCCAAAGGTCACAAAGCCATAAACTTTATTCAGAAAAGTCTTGATTGCACTCATTACTACCCAGGGCTCCGTAGGGGCTATACACATGCCATGTCTCTAACCACCTGGAAAATAGGAGTTTGGACGCAGTGTGCTTTTTCTGTGCCAACTTTCAAGAGCGCAGAGAAACACTGGGTCTGAAGTTGCCAGGCAAACATAACAAGCACCGCATCATAGCCTTCTTACATGAAATCCTGAGTGTGGAGCTGATCTTTTTAAGTGTGTAGGCCTAAAATATTGTCCGTGTGACAGATGTAAAGCTCTGATAGCTCTGCACTAAAATGATCAACGATTTCTCCATATTTATCACAGACTGATATTTATGGAAGGAGGGAGAGATATCTGTCAGCTGTGATTGGTTATTCCCTGTCACATGACATGGTGTGCACTGCTGCATTCCAAAAGTTTAACTCAGTTTATCTCCGAGTGCAGCCGCTGCACTTTAAAAAATAGGCGCTTGGGAACAAGTGCACTTTGCTCTAGTGTTTGAGCGTGCATGCTGTGCGTCTACATTGAAATCAATGGATTTGAGGGCGCAACAAACAGCATTATGTTCGACCCCTTACTGGCCTTGAAAAGGTTTGTGTGGCTCTTTGACTTAAATGCATCGCAGGTTTTCCTTGACAGTACTTGACTTTGCAAAACAGCGCTCAAATGAATCAACATGCATCATGTCTTTGGACTTCTCCATCCAAAAATCATCACTGACTTGACTGTATTTTAAGTGAAAGTGCCCTCTGTAACCTCCAATAGTATTGACCACATTTTTCACCAGATTTCACACGTTTTAACCTCATCATAATTCCTTGAATTTAAAGTAATTTAAAGATCCCTTCCAATGAAAATCAAGTTTTTAAACTTTGTTAACATGTCCATATGGTGTTTATCATTTGCTACAAGACATGAGCGAAATAAGCAGTCAATGCCATGGCTGAGCATTTCTGCCTTGGATCTGCAGCGTACCACTGACAGACTCAAAAACATGGATTCTGACTTCTAGGATTTTTAAACCTCACACAAACATAAGAAACCAATCCTGTCGGCTGGCAGGGAGGGGCTTTCTATATCGTCAGCATAACACTATGAGGGGAAGTGAGGGGTATCAGAGCCATGTGTAGCTGCATATTGGTATTGCAAACAAAGTTAACAATAACTTAGCCAAGCTTAACGTTTCTTACAACTTTCTAAAGTTGTAGAAAGCAATGAGCAGAGTGGAAGGTGAGCAGGTATTCTCAACGTGTAGAGTTACATTTAAGCCATTTTTGGCATGGAGAGATTTTTTATGGAAAAAAAACTCTGAAATACAGAGGTGATTTTTAGGGGTTTAATCAATGCTAGGAGAGGAACTTTCACATGTCAGAACCTGGAAATACAATAGTGATAAATTCATAAATAGAATTAACACTCATATAATCTGTTCACCTCAAGGGCCAGAAGCTCTAGCCCAGGAGGACATTATTGATCATCGAGCAATATTTCTATCAAACTTGTAGTGAGTGAACAGGGAAGGCTTGAGAGTCAACAGCACACACAACGGTTAATGTTCTGGCTGTTGTGGTGATCCCTGTGACCTGGCTGTTATACGATTGTTTTTGTATTGTCTCTTTGTGAAATTCAACGATGTTGTTCTCTCTTACAGAACAAGAAACAAGGATGTAACAACCCAGAGATCCTTGCAGTCCTGGGTCATGAGCTTGGCCACTGGAAGCTTGGCCACACTGTCAAGAATATCGTCATCAGTCAGGTGATACAGTCTCTCCTTGAGTCTTCACTCAATGTTCAAAACACCAGAACAAAGTTGGCCTGATCACACATAGTCAGATGCAAATGTTCAGATGCAAGTTGATATGCAAATAACATCTGTTCTCTCTGCAGATGAACTCCTTCCTGTGCTTCTCCCTGTTTGCTGTTCTGATTGGACGCAAGGAGCTGTTTGTAGCTTTTGGCTTCAATGACAGCCAGCCCACATTAATAGGCTTGATGATTATCTTCCAGTTCATCTTCTCCCCGTACAATGAGGTGAGTATGTGATTGGTCGTTATTTATTGTTTGTTATTTTGCTCCAGGCGTTCCCACAATTCCGATTGATATATATTTTGTCTTTGCAGCTGCTCTCCTTCTGTCTGACGGTCCTGAGTCGCAGGTTTGAGTTCCAAGCAGATGCTTTTGCACGCGGCATGGGCAAAGCCTCTGAGCTCTACTCCGCCCTCATCAAGCTCAACAAGGACAACCTGGGCTTCCCCGTGGCTGACTGGTTGTTCTCCATGTGGCACTATTCCCACCCTCCCCTCCTGGAGCGCCTCAGAGCACTGGGCAGCATCAAGCAGGACTGACGGGGCTGGAGGGGGGAGGCGCGACCGCTGCCTCCTCCGAAGGGCCTCCGCAAACCGCTCCTGGCCCTGTGATGCACCCTGGCCTTTTTCTACCTGTCCGCCCCCCTTTCATCTTGTTTTATTTTCTTTTAGTCATTCCTCTCCTTGACATACTTTCTATTTTTTCCCTTTGAAACTTTGTTTTAAACAGAACCAAAACATATCAGCACAAGCCAGCCTAAAAAAGCCTGAACTGAAGTCTCCGCTGTTTCTCTAGAGACACCTAATATGCACTTGTAGAGAGCAATACATCTGGGCAATGTGTGTTTAGCAAAAGCTGTTGTCAAAGCACAGATCACATTTACAGATTGACCTCGAGGTATAGTTTTGAACTTATTTATTTCTCTACAATCGGATTATTTTCCTTTTTGACTATAAAGAACAAAAGTATTGAAACCATGTGATTTTGAAACCTGAATACCGGCTTTACAGTGCTTTTTGCAGATACACAGGCCAGAATTTGATTTGTCTCTCAAGTGCAACTTTTGCTTCTTTAGAAATGATCTCCAGGCCAGCTCAAGAGTGAAAACAATCTAGTCATCAACTCAGATTCTCAGTTTTTTGCAAGAGGAGCTATGTAGATGCTTTATCACAGTGACAAAGTGTGAGTGCCTCTAATTATCTCTGGTTTTGTTCCCATAATGGACACATTATGAACAAACCAGTGCAGAAAATTTCATTCAAAATTAGGTTCGATTTTTTTACACGCACTGGGGGGGATCTTGTTTTATTTTTTTCTAAAGCACTTGCTTGTCGGCGAGGTTCCAACCATACCTGTACATATGTAACTTTAATGAGTAGAGTAATGGCGTATGATGTGAATTGTGAAAAAAATGTTGAATGTGGTTTGAAATTTTAAGTTGATGCTGTGTTTCTTAGTTTCTTCTCTTGGTTTTGGGACGGAGTGAGCCCAGAGTTGCCTGGCAAGCAGAGTATTTATAGGGGGACTTGGGGAAGGGGGTCTGCAAGGTCCCTTTCACCACATAAGCCAGTGTTTGGTTTGTTCAGCGAGGGGACTGTGTACTTTCTTTTTGCTGCATTGAATAAAATCCTTCAAAGCATTCCATATGTTTCATGGTTTTGTTTAGTTAAATAAAGATAAAAAATGACGAGTAAAAAGTAAGATTGTGTTTGACAAAGTATAGTTGCATCTTTTATTCAATCAATCAATCAATTTTATTTATAAAGCCCAAAATCACAAATCACAATTTGCCTCACAGGGCTTTACAGCATACGACATCCCTCTGTCCTTTGGACCCTCGCAGCGGATAAGGAAAAACTCCCCAAAAATTATTACTTAGGTCTTAGTTTAACAGCTTTCAGTAATATGTCATGGTTTTAGTTCTTTCTTTTTGTATTTGATAACTCATTTTTGTGTATACATGTTGTAAGACTTTCCTGAGGACTATCTTACAACTATAGATTTAAATTATTTTCAATTAATCCATTGTAGCTTTTTCATGTTTAATTTTTTGCAATTTAAGCTAAAGATTTTTTTTTAATCTGGAAAGGTTTCTCTAACTTTTTTTTTAATTACTTTTTAACTTTATTTGAAAATTAAATTATTTAAAAAGGAATGTATACTATGACTTTTTTAGCACCTTTATCGACATACTATACTATGACTTTTTTCAACATACTATACTATGACAAATGATTTACATTATTATTTTAACTTTATATGTTTATGTTATTTAAAAAATGAATAAAAAAATAAAATTATAATTATAAATTTTAAAAAATATATAAAGGACAAACAAAACAAAAAATAAAAGTAAATAGTCCATGATAGCTATTTAAATAATGTAGAAAAATGAGCAGCAGCAAGGGGGTATAGCAGACAAAGATAAGTTTAATAATAATAATAATAGATAATAATAATAATTATTATAATAACGCATTTTATTTATAGGCACCTTTCACAACTCAAGGACACCTTGAAAAAACAAGCAGCAATATATCCATAGATAATGAAATCGAACAATTCTGTAATATACAATAAAAGCTAATAAAATGACTAAACAAAAATCACAATTATAAATATTAGGTATAAAATAAGGAACAAGGAGCAAATTATTTAAATTAAAATGAACAAATTGAGTGTTATAGACTTATTTTTTGAACACAGGATTAAATAGATTTAATATTTAACTTGAATTCTTTTAAGAAAACTTAAATATACAAAATCTCGTCGGTAATAAATCAAAAAATCAAACATATCAGATGTCATCATAATATCAGCAGTCACGTAGTGAACGTGCGGTGATATCACGCTGACCACATTCAAGACCAAACCATTTCTAAAATGGCAGACGGTATTTTTTTCCTACACGCTATATTTAATCACTTGTGTCGTGTATTAAAAACACAATAGCTGTCGTACTGTATATTAATAAATGAGTTGTTATTTCTATGTGTTCCTCATTAAACTAACGTGACGTGGCGACATTACTCACCCTGTCTGACCAATAATGGCGCCGTCCAGTGGCGTATTTTGAGGACAAGGGCACGTACTGCTGTCAGTGTTGTTTTCACGTGAGAATCAACTATGGCGAGGCTGCTGAGGCCTAGCATCAGGACTTTTGTCACCTCACAGCTGCGAATGTCATCCGACCAGGTAAAATGCGTCCTGGAAACACGTTACTCCATTAACACGCTGCTTTTGTGACTGTTACACCGCTGTGTGTAAATTAATTAGCTTAATAATTTTGGCTAACTGAAAGCTTGTCTGACAATTAGTAGGTCAACGGTTGTTGGCCACATGATTATAGGTCAGAGGAACTTTGCACCAAATCCATTTTAGGGACATATTAACAGCAATGCAGCACTTTATGTTTCACTTAAATCATATCAAGCCTCTAAATAATTTGTTGCACAAACAGTTTCTGGTCTTTTCCCCAAAACGTTATGGTAACACTGCAAACAAGGAATTCTGTTGCACTCCTTCCTGAAACACCTGACCTTCAGAATAGGGTGAATTTCATAGGGTGCTTAACACCACACAGATAAGACTTGATAGTGAAACCCAAGGGAGGAATTAACTTTGAAACTGTAATTTGAAGCCACTGTCTCTTAAAGGAATGTCTGCACACAAAGCATTAACAATGCTTGTATTTGTCTTTGAATGTTTGCACTAATCATTTATCTCCATGCCCTGTCTTAGCTGGGCGAGCTGGGTAAAGGTGCAGGAAAAGGTGGTGGCGGTGGAGGGTCCATCAGAGAGGCAGGTGGTGCACTGGGGAAGAGGCAGGCTGCTGAGGAGGAGCTGTACTTCAGGTGTGCATTTATTCCCTTTACAGCAACCACATGTGGACAGTTAGCTGTACTATGTCTTTCTCAGTGATGCTGCCTTACAGTCCTAATTTCTTTCTGTTTGTTCACCCACCACCTTATCTGTCCATCTGCACACAAGGCGTAAGGAGCAGGAGCAGCTGGCCGCACTGAGGCAGCATCACCAAGAGGAAATCGAACATCACAAAAAGGAGATTGAGCGTCTGCAGCGCGAGATCGACCGCCACAAGGGAAAGATCAGGAAGCTGAAGCACGACGACTGAGCCAAACTTTCCAATAAATAAAAAAGTTCCAGTTTTCTCACCATCCCAGCCCGACAGCTTCACTAATCACTCAGATTGCTGCATGCACTGTGTCAGCAGGCCAGTCTTGAATGTGTGCGTGATTGTTCTGTAAATGCACGAAGGTTATTAAAACTTAAAGCTTTTAAAATGATGATTGTTTCCATGGCATGCTGTGACACAAGTTGTACAACTTTTTCCACCCTCTCCCCTTTTTTGTAGTCAGTCACTGTGCTCTATGTGCAGGCAAACGGCCAAAGTGGAGAAACCTAGATATCTTTAACGCTGCTTCACATAACACCTATTTTTCTTCCTGTGTGATGTTTAAATAAATTGTATTGTAAATGGCACCAGTAGCTCTATCTTTTAGTCTTTTTAGTAATTTATTATGGAAACCTACCAAACATTCTCTAATGTCAGCTTCTCACATGTGGGGATTTGCTGCTTTTTACAGTTTCATGTTGAGGCACATTTCATACCTTTACATTTTTGGACTGTTTGTCAGACAAAGCAAGCATCTTTGATATGAAAAGGTAAAAATATTACCTGAGAAAGCACTTCATCAATGTGATTTGAATTATTGTAAAAAAAAATATATATAAGCACTGACATTAGAAATATGAGGAATATGCACCAAATTTTGACACAGCACTGGGTTTAAATATAGTTTGTGATTGTGTGTCAAGTTGCTCTTTAAGGCCCTCATCAGTTCAGTTGATGTGTTTTCATGGTGCATATCCCCAAACAAGTGGATTTCCAAACTAAAACAAATCAGACAACTCTAGTGGGCGTTACCTCTAAATACATGAGCACAGAGTGACATTGTACACACCAACATAGCTTTCCCTCAATTCAACATAAGAGTTAAAATTGCTTAAAAATGACTAGGTGATTAGGGACTGTTTGTTACGTATGAGAGGGAATGGTGGTGCATAATTGGAGCCATGTTAAATGTTTTTTTAAAGCACTTGGGAGGGAATTTAGTTTTTATTTTAGATTATTATTAATTTTATTATTATTATAAATTATTAATTATTTTAAATACCACCTGAGCCCCATTTGAAAAAGCCCATATCACAGCATTTCCTCATAGTCAGAAACTGTAAAAACAGAAATTATCTCTGGCTTTTAGAATTTCTGACGCTTCTTGAACACATCATGCTCAGCCAATAGCAGGAAACACAACCAAATCTAAGCTTAAAATCATGTTATTTAAAGCAGCTCTTACCTTTCTTGCATTTCACACAGCATTTAGAAAAAAATTGAACATCCACAACTCCCGCCTCTCTCCAAAGTCCCATCCCCCTTCTCCTGCAACTCTTCGGCTCGGGCCGAATGCAATGATCGGTCGGAGTTTTCTTAGAACCATATGAGAATGGTACAATTATGAGTTTTTATCTCTGGTGGAATTCACTCACATTTTAGTGTGCCATCAGCTTATTTATTGCATTTTAACCTAAACAAAGAAAAGCATAAAATTTCCAGAAAGGTAAGTGTTGTTTTAATCAGAATCACTTCATTCTACGTCTCCTTTACAATTTGCCAAAAATAAAAAGTTTGCACTAACCCTGTTAAAGAAAAATAATAAAAATTCTGTGCTCTTGCATGCATGTAAATAATGAAAAACTTATTCATTTCAATCCTAGGAATTTGCTTTCAGTTTTTATATGTCGGCCATCAAAGGGTTAGGGCCTATTTATGGTCAGTGTGTGGATGCAAATATAGGGTTAGGGCCTATTTATGGTCAGTGTGTGGATGCAAAACAACTTTCTCCAGCTAAATTCAGACAAGACTGAAGTCATCGTATTTGGTCCACAGAAACAAAGAGCAAGTGTCAGCAGTTACCTCCAGTCTCTCTCTCTAAAACCTACAAATCAGGTTAGAAATCTCGGGGTAATAATGGACTCAGACTTGAACTTTAACAACCACATCAAATCAATAACATCAGCAGCTTTTTACCATCTAAAAACATTGCCAAAATCAAAAGTATAGTGTCTAAACCTGACTTGGAGAGACTGATCCATGCATTTGTCTCTAGTAGGTTAGACTACTGTAACGGCCTGCTCACTGGCCTCTCCAAACGGGCCGTAAGACAGCTACAGTACATCCAGAATGCTGCTGCTCAAGTCCTGACCAGAACCAGGAAGTATGAGCACATTAGTCCTGCGCTCAGGTCTCTACACTGGCTTCCTGTGGCTCAGAGAATAGACTTTAAAGCAGCTCTGCTTGTGTACAAGTCTCTCCACGGCCTAGCACCAAAGTACATCTCTGACATGTTAGTGCCATATGAACCATCTCGGACTCTGAGGACCTCAGGGACCGGCCTCCTGCTGGTGCCCAGAGTCAGGACTAAACATGGGGAATCAGGATTCCAGTTTTATGCAGCTAAAATCTGGAACAGTCTTTCTGAAGATGTGAGACAGGCCTCTACTCTGACAATGTTCAAATCTAGGCTCAAAACAGCTCTATTTCACTGTGCATATGACTGAAAGGATCTTATCTGCACTCTTCTCTTTTAAAGTTCATTTTATAATGATTATTTATGTTTTTATTTTGTATTGTGATTTTAATGCATTTTCTTGTTCTGTAAAGCACTTTGAATTACTTTGTGTACGAATTGTGCTCTACAAATAAACTTGCCTTGCCTTGCCTTGCCTTTATTGTGGAGGGAGGGTCATACATTTTCCACAGGTCACCCAGGAAGGCTCCAGGAAAAATATTTGTAGCTTCAAGGAGGGTCAAGATTCAGAAAACAAACATAATACAAAGTTGCACCCCTTATCAGTAGAGTGCTGTCCCTTAAAAGCATAAAACAGCAAGATGGTGCAGTTAGGTGAACATATGTATTAATATTCTCCAATAATAGCAAGCAGAAGACTGAGCTTTAATTAAAGATTTAGATTTAAATCTGACAACACAACTTTCAGAGGAGGAAAGTAAAAAAAAAAAAGTATTTAAAAACTAAAATTCTCCCTCCATGCAACAGCGTCGCTGGAACATTTGAACACACTTCCCACGAGAAAGAAATATAAAAAACGTCACTTCCGCCTGCCCCTGCCTTTTACCACGAGCAGCCCCGTGCGTCTTTCTTTTCGCTCATCATGGCGGACCGGTTCAATAAGGTGGGCAGCCGCTGCGGAATTATAATGTCTTTTTTTGCTGTTTAGTGGAAGTTTATTCCGGTATTTTATAGTTAACATGAAGGCGATATCTATGGGACTCCTTGGTGTTGTCGTTGCTTTGTCCGGTGTTACTGTTAAGACTTGTTTTTAAAACATGTTTGAGGCAGTGAGCGGTAGCTGAGTGGACATGCCTTCATCATGGCAGCTTCCCTGACGAGTCAACGCCGTTAGCTTGCTAGCTTAAACCAGGGTCATGATTATGTGCAAGTTTGGGTAACGTACGCGGAAATTTAGTAACTTAATAGATTATTACACTAGGGTCTTAACATTTATGGTCATCCATGTTAGCTGAGGCTAAATTACAACGTCAGTTAAGATGTCATGCATTGACGTTAATGCTAAGCTAAAGGCAGTCGGCAAGTTACATGTGGCAGGTTATTACAAGGCTCAAGGAGGCGAAAATGGTTCTCTCAAAGTTCTTAAACGTTTTTAATTTGCGATGATTGTTTTACATGTTCAATACTTGCAGCTTCTACTTAAGACTAACTATAATATAAAATGTAAACAGCATCAGGCCGGTATTAACGTTAAAGTGAAGCATCCATCTGCTTTACATTACCATGCTAGTTGATGAGAGCCAACGCTGGTGTGATTTTTAGGTGTAACTTTAAATACCTGTATCTCTGTCTTTTTGAATCCTGCAGGTTCTGCTGCTTGATGGCAGGGGCCATCTACTCGGCCGCCTTGCTGCCCTTGTGGCTAAACAGGTTCTGCTAGGTAAGTGTTTCTGAAATACATTTTTGTGTAAAATGTGAAAACTGTTTATGCTAAAGCCATATGTAGAAGCACACAAACACTACATTCAAAATTTGAGCAGCCCTTTGAATGAGAAGCTGCTGTTTGCTTCAGCCTGTCAATGATGATGACCTTTACCTCATTTGCTTGAGTTTAACGACCATGAGAAAACTCACATGCACTACCATCTGAGACAAGACGGATTGTTAACTAGATTTTTTTTTCTTAAATGTCCAAATTTTAAACTCTTGCCTGTTTCTTTTCAGGACACAAAGTAGTGGTGGTGAGATGCGAAGGCATCAACATCTCCGGCAACTTCTACCGTAACAAGCGTAAGTAGGATACATCTCTGCTCAGTTGAACTTCTTTGATATGCTTGTTGTCTATGATGTTTTACCCATATTATTCGAGTTTCAATGACCATGAGACCACTTACATGCACTACCATCTGAGACATCAGCGTTACATACTAAAGTAATGCAACTGCTTAGTACCTTGAACTGTTTGAAACACAGTCCGAATGATGTCTGTATTGTGTACCCCTCTATAGTGAAGTACCTGGCTTTCCTGCGTAAGAGGATGAACACCAACCCCTCTCGTGGACCGTACCACTTTAGAGCTCCCAGCAGGATCTTCTGGAGGACTGTCAGAGGTAAGAACGCACCACTACTCAGTACACAGAAACTTCCTCACCAGAATATGAAATTAGTTCAGTGCTGATGAAAAATACTTGCACTGAGGATGTAGCAAGAATATCACAGCATTTACTTTAAGAAATTGATATGTAATTGAGGAGTTTATTATCACTTAAGTTGGTAGACTGGGCACTGCTGCATTGAAATGAAAACAGTCAGGGCAGAGGAGTCTGTAATAAAACTGTCTCACTGCTCCTGAACTGTGGTCAAACCTTGGCAGCGCTGATCAAGTATGAAGCAAGATTTTGTGACTATTTCCCATTTCTTGCCTCGAATGATTTCATTACACATATTTTAGCGTACTGTTAAGCAGTAAAATCAGCTTGTGACTCGTCTGCCATGTTAAACGTTTGATCGACATGATTATTGTTGCACTATAGACTCCAGGACTGATTGGTTTTTGGTGCGCTGCAGTCGATTCTACCTAATGCCAGTAGAGGTAGTCAGAAGAGGAGGAAGGACATGATGCTTTTTCAGATTATCTGTCACATGTACTTTCAGAATACAGTGAAAGTTTTAGCAAATATGAGTTATTTTCATTGAAGTTACCAACTGTAGCTTTAAACTATAATTCATAAGAACCCTTCGAAGATCCACTGTTGGACTGAAATATAATTGAGTCCTGTGAGTTGAATCTTGTGAAGCGTGACCTTAACCTTAATTTGACCAGGCACAAGTTGTTCCTTACTTGACCGTGATGAGCACTTTATCCCGAAGCTGATCATCTCTTGATGAGCC